CCCTACACCAGCTAACGAATCAGTCTGCATGTCTGAGTCCAACTTTTGAGAACTGGTAGCACTATCATTTGGTTTAACTCACAATGGATCTTGGAGTAATTACATTAAATATTTGATTTCTAAGACGTCTTAATTTAAAAATATATAAGAATATTCACATTAAGGTTACTGAGGCACTCCAGTGTCACATATGGTTCAAGTATTCAACACAATTACTAGAAGTTAAATACAAAAAAAGTACATGAATAGCCAAAAGGAACAAACACATGTCTGTCTACTGCTAAGTTCTGTTGCATGTGATAAACACATAACTGCAGAAGCGTTTTTTTATTAGTCTGCATTTTTCAGTCTCAAGTTTTCATTCCAAAAAAATTCATTATGTCATCAAGTTGGTGAAATTTAATGTCAAGCCACTGAAGCAGAAAGGCAATGGGTTTATGTGAAGAAAACTGGAAAGAGTAATCTGATAAATCTTACTCAAATCCTGTTCTGCTTAAGCATGAAACTTTGAACATACTACTTCATCCTACGATTTTAGGAGTAAAAGTCTTAATACATTTCAATTCCTACAGAAGATTCTGCACAGCATTTTCCAACTATCTATTTAGTTTCAAATTCTTTTTCAAGTGAATACCACAGAAAAATACGAATCATTCACCTGAACAACTACAGAAAGACTAATCATTGTTAAATTTAATCCTCTTTCAGTATTATTCAGCCTATACGTGTCTAGGATCCATGTTTCCTCAGAGAATTTTTATAAGCAATATATTTTATTCACACCATCTGATCATTAAAAGAACTAACAAATGGTGCAAGTACAACCACTTCAACACTTTCTGTGGTTTCACTAGCAAAGGTTTCTAGATGTGAGGCTGTACTGGGTTTGCATGGCAAGGCTTTGGTAGCAGGGACACTACAGGGGTGGCTTCTGTGAGAATACGCTAGAAGCTCCCCCCCATGCCCAACAGAGCCAATGCCAGCTGGCTCCAAGATGGACCCACTGCTGGCCAAAGTTGAGCCAGTCAGTGATGACTTTAGTGCCTCTGTGATAACATATTTAAGAAGGGGAAAAAAACCCGCTGCACAACAGCAGATGGAAGAGAGAAGGAGAACAAGTGAGAGAAACAACTCTGCAGACACCAACATCAGTGAAGAAGGAGGGGGAAGAGGTGCTCCAGGCACCAGAACAGAGATTCCCCTGCAATCCACGAAAGTCCGTGGAGAGGCAGGCTGTCCCCATGCAGCCTGTGGAGGTCCATGGTGGAGCAAATGTCCAGCTGCAGCCTGTAGGCCCCGTGCCAGAGCAGGCAGAGGCGCCCAAAGGCAGCTGGGACTGTGGGAAGCCCACACTGGAGCAGGCTCCTAGCAGGACCTGTGGAGAGAGGAGCCCACACAAGGAGCCGGTTTGCTGGCAGGACTTTAGACCCCACAAGGACCCATGCTGGAGCAGTCTGTTCCAGAAGAACTGCACTCTGTGGAAAGGACCCATACTGGAGCAGTTTGTGAAGAACTGCAGCCCGTTGGAAGGGGCCACGTTGAAGAAGTTTGTGGAGGACTATCTCTGATGGGTGGGACTCCACACTGGAGCAGGTGAGGAGGAAGGAGCAGCAAAGACTTGATGAACTGACCACAACCCTCATTTCCTGTCCCCCTGCACTGCTCAGGCAGAGGAGGTAGAGAAATCAGGAGTGAAGTTGAGCCTGGGAAGAAGGGAAGCGGTGGGGCGAAGATGTTGTAAGATTTGTTTTTATTTCTCATTACCCTACTCTAATTTGATTGGCAATAAATTAAATTAATTTTCCCAAGTTGAGTCTGTTTTGTTCATGGTGGTAACTGGCGAGTTATCTCCCTGTCCTTATCTCAACCCATGAGTCTTTCATTGTATTTTCTCTCCCCTGTCCAGTTGAGGGGGGGGGGGGGATAAAGCAGCTTGGTGGGCTCCTGGTGTTCATCCAAGATCAACACACCACAAAGCCACACATACTGGATACTGACACAAGCACCATTACCACAGAAACATGAGAGTGAAAAGCAGGCAGGTTCTCCTTGCAACAAGATTTAAATGGACCATTATGGGGGCTCATTTATATCCATTCTTTATGTAATAGTACTTGTCCTTCCATAGTGATAATGCACATTTATTATAAGCATGACTTATTTAGGCATGACGTAGGTGTCAGCCAGAGAAAAAAAATTTGTTTAAAACTCTGTGTCTAGGACAATGACAGATGAGACAAAAGAACACCACAAATAAAAATAACCAACAGCCACAATAGTAGAACAACAAACAAACAAACAAGAGACTTAAAATATCTACATACTGCAGCACTTTTTCCTGGAAAGTTGAAGAAGGCATCAGGTCCATACTTCTGAGGCATGTGTTTTAACACAGACAATAACTTCCCAGCATGTGGTGGCTGACCAAGAGAATAACACTTGTAAATAAATAACATACACCTATAAGAAAGAAAAGACTATACACTCAAAAAATTAATTTTGACACATTTTAAAGCTTTGCACATGATTGAGTAATAATCTGCTAAGACACTTCACACTTTCAATAAACATTAACAGAGTCATGGTTACCGTCACACAATACGCAGTAGGTGCACTGGAATACAATTAATTGGATAACTAAATTAAGGACTTAAAGGCCAGAGCCAATTTCATCCAGCATAAACTGATCATGAATGATAGTTCCTTTCTCTATCTGTTCATTCCCATCAAGGCTATCTTTTGTGTATACTTGCAGTGAGCTAAAGAAAATGAACCGATCCAGCTGTAAACTAATTTAAGAAAAACAAATGCAAACCAATTTTCAGTTACAGCAGTTTTGTATTGTGCCTGCATGAAACCTGTGCCAGTACAAGGGAGATGGGGAAACCTAGCAAAAGGGAGAGCGAGGATCAGCAGGCAGGAGTATTTTCATCACGACTAGAGTCATATACTAAAGTGTCTTTGGTTACATATATCCCTTCGTGTAAGTCCATGGAGAAAGATTCAAGTCTGAAGGGCAGTTTGGAGCACCTACACTGAGCATTCGGCATGAATACTTCACACTTCCCTACCACCACCCTAATTCTGCATTGATTTTTTTGTAATACTCAGCAACTACAAACCCCAAATCAAGTATATGAGCTCACAACAGAAGTACAGCAAATACTGATCATAGTGACAGAACAATTTTGTGTATCTTCTTTTATCACTGCATAACTTTGCAGTAGATCTATTTTTAAATGACAATTATAAACTTCAGATCTGTTCCTGAAAGTGTCCTTTTCCCCCGCTTGTAAACAGCCACCCTCTGAAAACTAAGCATTGCATGATCCATTACAAGGATTTCAAATGTACCAAAATTATAGTCAGACAAACAGTGTTTCATGAATCTGAATTAAAATTGAGGAGGAAACACTGAGAACTACTTAGACTTCTTCAGCACTATAGAATTCAACTAGGTAATCTGTGTTGTAGCCAAATACTTTGTATCTTCACAGCACTGCTGATTTTAAGATTTATGGAGTTGTACAATTCCTTAGCAATGCAACTGTGGCATTTTTCTCCTCCTTTCCTCTATATTTAGTTTTTAATAAAGAAGGAAATTAAATGCAAGTAGCAGACAGACAGAAAATGAAAAAGTTAACATTACAGAGACAATTCTGTCTATGGTTAAATGTTCTCTGTATGTTCAATTATTAAGTATAAACTTTTTATGAAGTTTAGAGTATTTTTATTTGTGCAAATTAAGATGTCCAAAGTTATTTATTTCAAAGGTCCTTTTAAAAATTGCTATATTATTTGTGCATACTGGCTTTTATATTGTATATGCCTTTTTATTTTAAGTCAATAGAGACACTGTGCTACCTTTTCTTTACACTAGGCAGAGTATTTAGAGGTAATAGAAGCTGAATTAAAATTCAAAGCAGATAAAATGATTGTTAAAATAGTTCCCAATTCCAGCAAAACAACAACTTTGTGTTAAAGAGAATCACTTTATCTGGTGGCCACTACAACATAAACATTTTTAATATAGGGAAGGAGGTTCTCAACAGTAAAAGGACATGCTCTTCTCTAGTTCACACAGGAACAGGAGAAAACACATTACGATTTTTCAGCTAGAGCTTATTTCCTTCATTTCAATTTCTGCCACAAATTCTCACTTCCCTAACTAGGTAATTTTTTTCAGTTTTCAGGTAAAGAGCAGCAATGTGTAAATAAATTAAAACTAAATAAACTAAACTGCCAATGTAGACATTTTTTATTTATTTCTTTTGTCTTCATAAAAAATTTTTAATCCTTTATCCTTCAATTTCACATAACTGGAATTACAAAAATAAAAACTCGCATACACTTGCTTAGAGTCGCCACATTATCCGCAGGCATTCAAAAAGATCAATCCAGTCCACAGACCCAAGAGGAAATTTAATTTCATCACTTTTCCACTCTCTGTATTTTAATTGCTTGCAAGTAAAAAGATTCAGTGATATAATACCAGAAAGCATCTTGTATTTCTTGGTACATTTAAAATTTGTTTACTACAAAGGCTATCAAACAGCCTTTTAACTTGCGAACATCAGGAAAAATATAAGCAACACTACAAAAATTGATTCAATTTTGTGTTTTCTTTTACCCATCTCCCTTTTTCTCCTTGAAGCTTGCTGAAGAATAACTTTAGCTCTCGAACTGTCAAGTTATAGCTAGCCAACACACCCAGCATATCCACTAAGAGATCTGAAAAGGAAAAGAACAGCAATATAATTGCTTAGTAAAATGCAATACCAAATTTCTATGACTTAATAAATGATTCCATGAGATCTTACATAAAAGTTCGAATCATGCATTGGGTGATACTGTACCTGCAATCATGTTGTCAGCTCTATCAATCCTCTTGAGCACTTGTTCAACGAGTCCCACTTCCGTGCATGCTTGTAGATTGCGTATACTTTTCTTCAAGATTGCTGTAAACATGCTCCACACCTCAGCCTGGCAGGTGATGTCACACTTGTCCAGCAAGTCTACCATGCAGGTGATGCCCTCTCTTTCTTGGATGATAAAGTTCATTTCAAAGTCAAACTGGCCCCCAACAAGCTTTCAGACAAAAGATTAAAGAAACATTAAGACAATTGTATCAAAGTACCATTCCATGTTTAAAGTTACTCATCCTGAAGAAGAAAGCTACCAAAGACATAAGCTAAAAAAAAAAAAAAACAATGAGGCCAATATCAATATATCAAGTCTTATTCTTTCTCTGTGTGAAGTTCTATTGAGTAACTTCAACAAAGGTGCTCCTAAGGCATCGCTTACTATCAGACAACTGCTGCAGAAGAACATTTGGGTACAGATGCACTGAGCTGCCCCACACAGCCGCAAAGTGAAGATACCAAGTGAGTGTTCCAAAACAAGTGACAGCGCCAAGTCAGCTAAGATACCTTAAATGGCCTGGAGTGGCCCTAAAAGCTTTCCTTCACATGTGCTTAACACTCCACAAATAAGAGGGCAATTCGAGCCAAAAGGAGCTGATGCACATCAGAAATACTGCCGCTTATAAACACTTAAAGAGTCATTGCTGAGATACTGAATAAAGCTGGTTAAGTATTAACTGCCAGTTTCATTAGTAGCAACAGTTACTAAAAGGAAGCAAAGGCTTGCTATATTTGCATGAATGTTAAAGAGCAGCATTATTCGAAGCCTTTGACTACGCTTTAGCTAATGCACTTAAATCCTGTAATATTTCAAGCATCCTAGATGCAGGCTTTGTTTGAACATACACTGAGTAACTAACCACATGTGTAGGAGCCAAGGAGCTGGAGGGGGGAGAAGTGTAGTCAATAAAATAAAAATCCCAGTTGAAGGAAAGATGGATTGTACTAACCTAACTCCTCTACCCTACCCCACAATCCCCTTCCACTTTTTAAACTTCTCTTGGGACTTTAGAACTGTATTAAATTTAATGCTTGCCATAATACACATTATATGCCAGATTACAAATAGGAATTCAGATAGCATTGACTCAAATGATCAAAATCGAATCATGATCAAAAGTATTTCAGCTCATTCTCACTTCTACAAGTTTGTCTAATAAAAGACATTACTTCTGTCCTACATGGTGTTCTTTTCACAGGCTTTGACCATTAACAGTTTCAGTACTGTCACCTGCCGAAGTCATACAATGTCAAAACTGCCCCAAAATGCATATCCTAACTTGCTTCCATATTAGCTCCGAAAGCTTCGCTTGGCTAGTCAGGATCTGAAAATAAACTTACCCAACAGAACAGAATATATGCTCTTCATTAACTCCTGAAATTACCATACATTTTCCCCAAGTGTCTAAATCTTGTCACTTTGAAGAATCAATCTTTGGTCTTCTGGGTATAAATCAGTAATGCCAAACACCACGAGAAGCAGAGAAAGTTACTGCTTTTATGACAGAACAGACAATGTCTCATGGCAACAATTTCTGAATAGTAATTTATACTTTTCCATTTTCTCCCCTCGTGGTCATGAAAAATAATTATGCAATTTACTATCAGATGCTTCCTTAATATCTAGGCAAGCCACAGGAACTGAATGTGGAGATTTGAATTATATTCCCAGCTTCTCTAGATCAATTCTGATCTACGCTGTCAACTCAAACAAATCTATCAAGTCATTATCATTCTCCAAGCCTCAGTTTTCCCCTTCCATAATAAGATGGAGCAGAGGTCTACCTCAAGAAAGCTCCATAAGGTAGAAATCAAGGGAGAATGCTGAGCAGAATGCATTAACACTGAATTATCACAAAACATATGCAAAGCAAAAAGTACACCCCCCACACACACCCCCGGAAAAAAACACGGAACAAAACATTTGAAAACGTAAAATACACAACCAATGTTACACTTTATTTTACACTAAACTTATCATCCTCTACAAAACTGAGGTATTCCTCAAGAAGCCACTCTCTTTCTCACCATCAAGGTAAGAAACAAAGACAATACTACATTCCATGTACAGACAGAATAGCTGAAGGTTAAATTCTATCCACAAGACACCTGCTAGTCTTTAACAAGAAATTCAACTCTTAATGCAGTTGGTTTTAACTATCAGCCAACCATCAATTATCACACTAAAACCATATACAGCAACTAGAGGCGACCTTACCTTCACCCTATAGTCTACACCACCAATCTTTCATTTTTGGCTAGATACACTATTATCACTAACCACCCATCCAGGAAGCTGTCAAATTAGGTTTCCAATCTAATCTGCAAACATAAGCATTTCAGCAAGTACATTCTAGAAATAATATGCTATGGTAGAAATAATTACCATTTTAACATTTCCTTTAAGGTAAGTGAGGACAAAAAAATGGACAGAGAAAGCAATATACCAAAGGCACAGTGCATTTGATGTACTGTATGTATGCATACCCATTAGATACACATAAGCACACACACACCCCCCACAGTAATTCATATTAACCCTTTCTCATGGTGATTTGAAACTGATCAACCTTCAAAACACAAATTTGTTTCCAATGACAGGGATCATAATCCAAGTCCATGCATTGGCTAGTTATTATCTGAGCTGTGGTAATGGCTGTGCACAGCAAAATGTAATCTTCCCAAATGTCACAGTAAGTTATGAATATCTGAGCAGCTTAATGCACCTTACTAGGCATGAAGTGTGAGAATGTAATCTTATTACCTTTTTTATGGTTGTATTTTTTTGAATAATGTAGCCTTTGAACTGATGTATAGTCTTTCCTTGCACTTTAGCATGATTTGGTCTCCTGTGTCACACAGTACATTTTTCAAAATTCTCCAATTCAACGTATTTTAAGTCCTACGCAGAGCTGCATAAACAATCTTTATAGAAACCTACAGGGCAGCATAACATTTTCTTTCTTTGGCACGTAAGTATAAGCTTACAGGAATGGTTTTAAAGGGCAGTATTCAAAGTATTCTAATATATCCTCACAAATTTTACATTTTGTCAGTTACATTTACCTTCAAAAAAATACATAAACTAAACCAATAGCTCAAGCTTTTTGGTAAAATGTTTCTACATTTGGCTGATTGAGAACAGGGAGGATACTTTATAGCAATTTTTAACTCCACACTCAAAGAGTGAGGGTTTCTTTTCCCTCTCTTAGAGAGCCAAACTAAAGAAGCCAACGTAATAGCACTAATTATAAGTATAGAATAGCACTACATCACTTCTAAACAGAAAAAATAAATCAAATTTAAACACACAAAACCTCTCTTTGCAATGAACCTTTCATCTAACATAAAACGGAAGAAGCGATCCAAGATATAAAAGAGATGGTGCGCTCTTTCGGTAAGCAACTACCAAACAGTATGAAGAAAATAGCTCAGAATAAACACAGTCAAGCTCCACTTTCTTGAAAGATCATAGTATAGATTACAAATCTAGTTTAAAGTTGTTTCTCCCAGTGGCAGATATAAAATATTTCAAAAGCTTGTAAGAAAATGTGAGGAAAAGTATTTCAATGAACTACAACAGAGAAAAAAAATAAACTAAGTCCAAGACCACACTCTGCATTTCTCCTGGAAAAGCCAAATTGGCTACACTTGGGAGAACTATAGGCTGGATCTCCACAATTTTACCTCAAACCCCTAAAAAAGACTTCACTTCTACAGAGTTTCCTCATCCTTCCGGTTACTAGATAACCTATACATCAACACAAACGTACTTGTTTTGTTCCCTAAAGCCAGGATAAAAGAGCTATTAACCACTCAACCTGTGACCTCCCTTTTCCTCAGGATGCTGGTTTTGTAATCTCAGAATTGTTTCATTAATATGTTCAAAACAAGAGGTATGGACAATGTCTATCCAATAGAAAATGCCTATCCCAGGAAGAAAAACATTCAGTCAAATAGGCCACTTCTATCTCAGTGGAAATTTTAAAAGTTTATGCTTAATAAGAACCTGCAAAGCTGTATGTACAAAGCTGGTAACTGCCTAAAAATCTTCTGTTCATAAGAGTAAGGTACTTCTACAATATAAACATCAAGAAAAATGTGCTGAAGCTAAACTAGTTGCCATTTCAACAATGAAAGTTTTGATACACACGCTACATTTTGCCACCATTCACAAAATAGCTATGTTATCCAAAGTGGTCCTGTTCTTACTGCAATTTTGCATCATGTCAGTCAGCCCAAGGTTAAAAAAACAAACAAAAAAACCCCCTCTGTTTTTCATCCCTCAATGATGAAATGTGAATGCAGCTTCTGGAGAACACAAACACAAAAAAGATGGATTCTTTTTGCCATTATGCTTCTGAGTAACAATAAATATAATATTATTTGCCTACATTTACTCTTATTTTCCACCAAAGTAATAACCCACATGCCGGACTCCATCCCCTTTAACGTATTCAGAAACCCAAAACGAACGTATTGATCATTCAAAAACACACACCAAAGACTGGCAAGTAGAAGAACTAAAATCTCTTTAGGGCAAGGATCTCGTAGGATCATGAGTGAACCCAAGCCAGTCAAATCCCCTGAAGGCACACAATAAACAGTAAAAATCAACACTGTTGTATATGTCCTGGGTGGGATAAAAAGACGGTTCTGATTTGGAAAGGAGTCTACAGATGAGAAGAGTGAAAAGGTGGGAAAAAAGAATAACTCATACATACTCCTTTGGAGCAATCCATTCTCTGCCCTTCACCCCTCACATTTCCATGCAGTCTTTTCTATCACTAACACAACACTTAGAGGTGAGAACATATTAAAATACGAGTCCTAAGAGGAGATTTGGTAAGAAAGCCTGTTGATAGTTTGGAGAAGTATATCAAATAGTGACATTAGCATGAACGTCAAGTCAGTGAAATCATGACAAACAGGGCTCAGGCCCAGAGAGATTATAGGGAGGTAAGAAAGTGACAGAAAAAGCCTGGATGTCAACTTATTCTTCAATATAATGCCACCATATCAATCATAATGCAACCAGAAAAACTAGACAAAGCACAAAGGACTATGGGAAGACCCACTCATAAAAGGCAAGGTCATAACCTTCCAGCAAGATGCAGATGACTTCAAGCCATTTGCTACCTTAGCAGTAGCACAAAGTTTAAAGTA